GGAGGGGGTCCTGGCCACTAAACACGCTCTGTGGCTCGTTGGGGACCGTGTGTGTGCGGTACCTTAGCCCTGTCCCCAGAGCAAAGCACCAAGCCCAGCGGTTGGGTTGATGGATTTTGCTCCTTAATCGCTTCTGTCCCCGGCACCATGTGTTTCCTTCTGCCAAACCTGCCAGGAGCTGGTGGGGGGCAGCTTGTCGGTGGAAGCTGAGCCTCCCGTGCTTTCCACGGACTGTCCAGGCAGCCTGATCCCCGCGGATTAGCTCAGTCCTGCTTAACCGTATGCCTTGATCCTGCAGGATGAAGGAGCGTTGATCTCAGAAATCCCAGATATTGCAAATCGGGATGGACATGCCACTGACGAGGAGAAGCTGGCCTCTACCACCTCCACGCAGAAACCAGCTGGGCTGGAGAAGAAGGGTGAGCCCGAGGATGACCTGGAGTACTTCGAGTGCTCAAATGTTCCTGTGCCGGCGGCGAAGCACAGCACGGAGGCAGGTAAGGAGCAGCCCTGCTGCCTCTGGCCCCGGAGACGTGCCGCACGTGCACCCGGGCAATCCCTACAGCCTCTGGCAACGGGTTGGTGCTGTTTATTTACACTGCTGGGGCTAAAGGCTGCTGTGAGTTACAGTGAAACCCCCAACTGCTTATCTGCGCTCTTCCCGTTATGGAAAAATCCCGGTCCAGGCTGCCTGTAGGCTCTGGGTGCAGAGCACCCTCCCCGTGGCCCCCGGGACGCTGCGGCAGGATGTGGCTCGGGCCGGCGAGGCTCCCTGCCCACGGCACACGCTGCCCCGCAGCCGTGCCATGAGTGCCCTCCTGAAACCAGTGCTCACCAGCGAGCCGAGGGCCGAGCCCAGCGATCCCTTGCCCCTCAGCTGGGATGCTCCAAGCCTGTGCCAGGAGCAGAGCTGCCGGGACGCGGGGTCCCCGCACGAGGGCCGTGGTGGATGGAGATGTCCGTGTCGCTACGGAAGACCTCCGCTAACGCTCCCGGTGGCGTTTTGCTGTCAGTCTCCTATGTAATTAGCCTCGCTGACCAATCCATTAGAAAATAATTAAAAGCCAGGCAACATGACATTTAATCAATAGCAAAGTTATAGGTGCCAGCTGGAGAAGTCACCTCGCGGGAGGCTTGCAGCTCTCCCCTGCGCGGGGACCCATTAATCATTGCTGGATGCTGTGCAGAGCTGCAGGCTCTGGGGAGAGGAAAACAGCCCTTTGTCTCCAAAGGGAGGAAAAATCGGAGTCAGCGGAGAGGCTGGGAGGCTTTATTTATTGCTGCTCATCTCAGAGGGCCAGGCAGGGGTGCACAGGCTGTGTGCTGGCTGTGGGCATGGTGCTGTGAGCTGTGGCGAGCAGCCGCTGACCAGGGCGCGGGGATAAATGGGGGGAAACGCTAGGAAATCTGCAGTCACAAGAATTACGTGGGGCTCTGGCAGAGCTGCTTCTCTCTGCCCGGTTAACGCTTGAATCGCCAGTCACGTCTGCAGTTGTTTGGGTGAGGTTCGTAAATCATCTCCCACGCTATGCGAGACGGCGTTGCGGGCGGGAGGAGATGGGCTTGATTTTCCCTCCGCTGCTGTTAAGAATAGCAGGGGCCATGTGGCAGCTCCTTTGGAGGGTGCTGGGCCCAGTTGGCGTGGGCTGAGGCTTCTGCTATTCGGAGTGGCCTGAGCAGCTGGGCTTCACCCCAGGGATGC